GGGGACAGGGACATAAATGGGCCCGTTTTTTTTTTTTTTTTTTTCTTGAATTAACTGTAAAATATCAAACAGTGTGATTCTGTATTCGATGAAAGGTCGTGCACATTTTGGTGACTTTAAGCTCCAGCAATCAGTTGTCATTCCCAAAAAGGAGAGAGAAGATAGGCCATTGATCATTGTTGTGTGCTGTGTTTGTACGCATTGCTGCTCCATGTTGGAGTTAACCCACAGTGGCAGTGTGAATGCGAGTGTGAAAGGTTGTCTGTCTGACGACCAGTCCAGGTTGTCGTCTACCTGGGATCGGCTCCAGCTTCCTGCAGCCTTGTAACAGGGCAAGCCGTACTGTGAATGGATGGACGGATCGATGCTAATTTGGGCTAGCCTGTCTCTGGCGTCTCACATTATATGTTAGCATGAAGCTATCAGACATTTGTTAGATCCTATAATTAGATGATTTGAGAGAACATTTTGGTGTTTAAATATACGTTTTCTCCTCTTTTGTTTTATGTGTCAGTTTTACAGTCAACTTCAACTGGGGGTGACAAACAACTTGAAGCAAGCTCACCGTGTATCTTTTTGGAGAACAGTGCATGCCAGCGAGTTAGAACAGGTGCTTTATTAATTTTAAATGTGTTTAAAGTATTTTGCAGGGACAAAACGATATATATGAATGTATTATATGGTAGCTAGAGTGTATTACAAAGTTTTGGCAAGTGCCAGTGGATCTGGAATGTATCCCCCGTGATTTAAACAGGGGGCTGAATAAAATGTACTGACAAATATATGACATTTTTTTAACGCCACCCCTCGGAAATACCCCCCCCCCTTTCCAAGCGATGGAGGTACCTTACATCTCAAAAGTGTAAGAGGATGAGACAATGACAAACGGACAAAAGGTGAACTTCCAGCCCTCTGTGACACTCCTTTATCAACCAGCGCGTCAGGCAAAGACAAGAGGATTGTCGTGGGGGTGGGAGCGGGGCAGGGGTTATATAATACTCCATGATGCAGGATACAGCTCGTATTCGGGAGATGGGGATGGGGGGGGGGGTCAGGCTCGTGGTGGCGGTGCATCCAGTTTGTGTTGTCAGATTGAATTTGTTGCAAGGAAGGGTCCTCCCCTCCACAACTCAGACAATGCGGCATGGCGATCATTAGTGTGAGAGCAGGCAGCACTGATTCATGGGCTCGTTGTGCCTGCCTCGCTTGCACGTTTGCCTCGCTGTATGCTGCACTCAGTGAGAAGCATGAGATTGACAGCCGGGTGAGAGGAAGGAGTGGGGTGGTAGCTGATAAGATTTGGAGGAATGGGGAGCTCAGGGCAGCTACACTGGAGAAATTTGTGTGATGTACACTGTGCTCTCTCTCACACAAACCTCCCATTGTTAAGGAACCCCCCTCTTCCCCCTTTTTATTCCAGTGCACTCAATTAGCGCCCCCTTCACCATACCAGCACCATGAGCAGGAACACACACCCCCATTTGTTCTCACTCTCTCCATCCGCAAGCTGCCATAGCAACCCTCACAGTGAGCGTGCTGACATCAATGGCAAGCGCTCTCTACACTCATCTACAGCCGCTATGTCTTGTAATCCCCCCGCCCCCCGTCCCCCCGAAAATCCCCAATCTCTATCTTGCTTACCCAGAATCACACAACTGCATCAACTTGGAACCTTTTTCAAGTGAAGTCAATGAGTCAGTGCATGGTCATCCGCCATGTCATCACGGGTGAAAAAATACTCACACCTCACACTGTCATACGAATAAAAAGACCCAGGTGAAATTGGAATTAAAGTGAACCCCTGTATATTCACATTTTGAGGGGGGGTGGGAGGTAACTTGCGTTATTCACTGAAAAACACCTCTTTCCGATTTTTGCACTCAGGCTCATACCATGTCTAATATAAAATTATTGTTTTGGCGCCATCTTGTGGCCAAGCAACTGAATAAGGGGAGGAGCTTCATTTAATCAGGCCATGTGAGATTTTATGTGTGAGGTTCTCTGGTAACTGAGTTGATATTTTTTGGTGAATGGAAGATCTACATTTTTTTTGTTGAGTGTTTCACAGTGTTTTTTGTTTGTTTGTTTTGTTTTTTATCTGTTGTGTTTTTAGTCAGGGGTGTAATTGTGACCTTTTTTTTAAGCATTTTTTTTTTCACCGAGTGTGAGGTTTTTGTTACGTAACCTTTTTTGCATGTTGCAATTTGTGTTTTTGAGAGGTAAACATTTTTAGCCAAGACGGCACCTCATACGGTTATAGTGCGCCGTAAAAATTAGATTAAAAAATCTTTTATTGAGTGTGAAACAAAAATACATTTTTTAGTCACATTTCTACTTAAAAAGCAACAAAATTAGACAGGCGAACGAGTGTGTCTGCAAGGGCGTGCGAGGTCAGCGTCAGGCTGGCTTGTTGCGTTTGAAAGCACAATAACGCAGCCAAGTGCAGACACGCTCAAGCGACCGGCTCCCAGCAGCCCTAAACTCTGTCAAAGCGCACATACATTGAGTCACATTCTGCTTTTAAATTATTAACAGATGGCAGGAAATGGCTTCCAAAGGCTCAATCCTCCTGCTAAGCCTTATGGTCAGGTACGTTACCTAATTCGCTTGCAGGTTTGGGTCCAAATATCAAATTACTTGTGCTGGTCTATGGCAAGCTGTTTGAGCATTTCTTTGATATCCTTAATATCCATCTGAAAGTGTACTCGTGTGCTCATTGATCTCTGTAAGGCAATTCAGCGCACTAGTAACTTTTTTCATGACTCGTGTCACTTTTGGCCTAATGCAAACAAATTCAGTTTTGCCTCACTGATAACATGTACTGTAGTTGTTCCACGAGTGGTAGTCGGTCGAGGGAAAAAAAAAAATGTGACCTTAAGATGGATATCAAATAAATGCTCAAACTGGCCTCACTTCCAGCCAACCCAGGTTGTATAAACACTAACAGACAAAAGGCACAAGAAGAAATTACGATTAGATTGGAGCAAAAATTAAACACCACATTTAGAAAACAAGATTTTGTTTTTCTTTCCTTTGTAAGAAATTGACCAACTGTTGGGAGGTTTTCTGCATTCCTGTCATTGGTCACAAGTAGAAATGTATTTTGCCTCGGGTGGACGGCACTTACGGGAGGGGTGACTCTCTAATTTGTATAATGACACAGAGGTGCTTTGATGTGAGGTTCCTGTAGTCACTGGCTACAAAAAAAAAAGATCTAAAAAGTGACTGATGAAAATTGAGGTGAACAGAGCGTGAAGTAATATCTCTGTGATACAGGAAGTTGGGTAAGAAAATCAAGCGCACCTTGATTACAATTTAGTGTTTTGCTGCCACAAATTTGTATTTTGTGCGTACATTCTAACTATATTGTGGGCACGGTTTTTTTTCCCTCCTATGGCACGTTTGGGGCTCCCTAAGGTTAAAACAGGAAAGTGCCTCATATTAGCACCCTCATTTGGGAAAAACGGGCAAGTCTGAGTTCATTTCGATTAAATACTGTAACCTGAGGTGTCACTTGTGTGATGTGATAATCACATCTTTGTGAGCTTAACAGTTATTGTGTGGTCGCCAAATGGGCCCTCTCACGCTTTCAAGTATTTCT